GAAGAGCGCAATGATGGTGCCAACTTGGGCCAGTGAAGCAACGTCCTCCACAACTAGACTGAAGAACAAAACAACAGCAACTTGTCTGTTACCCTTCCCCTAATTCCCCAGCGCTGTTCCCATCCCCCCAATTCCCCAATAAAAAATCTTAAAAAAAAAAAATACAGGTTGAATGAATTATTTAAAATCTTAAACAGAAAACAGGAGAAAATGCTCTCTAAAAGTGATCACATGTTTAAAAGACTGAAATAATGACTCTAACATGTAATTTACACCCCCCCCAGAACTGTACTTTATTATTTGAAATTTTAAATGGGTCAGAATTTAAATTCTCTTCAGGAACTTTAAAAATAAGCCTCTGTGTACATTATATCATGTCTATTTCTGAGGTTAGCATATTTGATATACTGTCTAGGAATATTAATATAAAATTTGCTTAGGGCAACAAAAACTTAATGAAGACAGTTGATATAGGCATTTCCTAAATAGTCAGTGACCTGGTACAGAATAATAGTCATTGTATTAAATTTCTATTCAAGGGGAAGAAATATCAGGCTCTGATATCAGTGGGTCAGAGGAGGATGACGATGAAGACGGTGAAATTGGAGAAGATGGAGAGAAAAGGAAAAAAAGGAGGGGTAAGCTCTTGTTTAGTTCTAGAAATTAACTGGGATTGCTACCTACTGACGGTTTAATATTCCCAAGGCTGTTGAGTGCATGCCTATTATTTTGCTATATTTAGTTTCGGTAGCAATTGGAACAGAGGAAGTATGCCATATACCTGGTTAACTTAGCATTATTTTTTCCTCTTAAATTGATGTACTTATAGTTGAATTAGAATACTGTATGTTCTAGGTTTTTTTTAGAATTTAGAGTTGTAAAAATCTGTGATAGTGGATGTACCATTTAAAATTTTCATGTAGGGTTTTAATTTTATGTGGGGAACTTTCATCTGTGTTAGAAATCTAAACTTTAGGAAATTAGGATAATGTGAAGTTTTTCTCAAGCAGGATTAGGCTTTAGAAGTCACTGAATTTTTAAATACTAAATTTGTATAAGGATTCTGTTTTTTTAATGTAATTTTTAATTTTTTCTTTATAAAATGTACTTTCATTCTCACCCTGTTATGGGGCATTCGTTGCCAAGTGTGGATTAAGACTGTGTTTATTGTGAGAAAAATATAGATAACATGCATAAGAGAGAGACATATTATAATGACCTACATTTCAAATCTTTTTACCCTAAATGTTTATTTATTTCAGAACTCTCTTCCATTAATGTAGATCATTGTTTTCAAGCTGGTGCATATTTTGCTTGTGTTATTAAAATAATCTTGCTGAAAATAAACCCATCACTGCTTAATCAGGAGTTCCAAATTTAAAACTGTGAAGATTTTGTAACTTCAAAGGACAAGAAAAGCATGATTTAGAGCAAGAGTTGGCAAAATAATAGCCTACTAGCCAAATCCAGCCTACCACCTGTTTTTGTAAATAAAATTTTATTAAACAGTCATGCTCATTTGTGTATGTATGGTCTGTGGCTGGTTATTTTCATATGAGACTGTATGGGCCGCAAAACCTAAATACTTGTTATCTGTGCCTTCACAGAAAATCTTTGCCAATCCCTGATTTAGAGAAATGGTTTTGTGTTCATACCTATTTTTTTTTCACAAAGGAAAATTATTCAAAGCTAAAGCAGATAATAGATTTGTTAAAAATAAAATTTTGAATAGAAACAATGCACTGTATCATATGTGAAAACATTTAATAGAGAAATACCTTCCTTTCAGGCTTAGAAATTTTTAAATGTTCATTGAGCTCTTTAAAGTTTTGCCATGAAACTTTGAAACATACATGATTATATCTGATAATTTGATGTTTTAGAGGAGAATGAAATTGGAGACAAATCAACCTGTCTATAATGAAGGACAGTTGATCATTTCTCTAATTTTAATTGTGCAAGACCTTAAATTTTAAAACTCAGTTCCTTTAACTTATCAACCTAAATAGTTTAAATAGACTGAAATGTCACCAAAATGACTTACTGAGTTTTTATTCTTGTCCTTCCAAACCTCTGAATTACTATGTTTTAGGTGAATAGTGGGGTTTGCGCACAGTAGACGCTTAAAGGATTACAGTTTCTAATTCCCCTGCATGGCTTTATTATTAGAGAATATTGGCTAGACTACCAAGACTGGTTTTAAGGGAAAGTAAGTTTTGGTTCTTTAATACAAAGCTTGATTGTCCTTTAAAATTCTATCTATCTCTGGAACTGAATTTTTCTCTGTGTATGTGCTCCTTTTCTTGTTTCCTTTTTCTGTGGTTCCCGTTGGGCTCATGTCTTTGTCTTCCAGGCAGTAGCAGCAGCAGTAGCTCAGACTCCACATGTTCTGTCATAGAGAAACCTCTGGATAAGTTCTTGCCTAGTGAGTGGCAGCTCTTAAATCCTCTAACAGAGCTTTGGCTTTTCCATAACCCATGGGCTTCATTTGAGAAATGCTGCACCGCTCCCTGCCATTATTTACAGAATACGTGTTGGACTTCTCAGGAGAACAGAGCATGTGATGATTTCCCCCACTTCATCGCTTCCAGTTACCCATAATTGTTAAAACATATGCTTACGCTTATGTTTGAGACAATGGAAGAGAGATTTCATGCTTCCGCAATTGAGATAATGTAAAGAGAGCTAGTAAGCTGTATAAAAGAATAATTCTTATCGTTCCTTTTCATATTTCATGTCAAATTTCTAATCCTAGTCAGTATAAGGGACATGTAATAACAAATTCTGAATTTCTAAAAGTCCAAATTACATTTGGAAGTATACCAATGCCAATTATAACATGTCTTACAGTTGTAAACGTTTTACGCTTTGGTGCCCTATTCTTAGGGTAGCTTAAGATTAAAAGCTCCGAAATAAAAAAATAAGTAAAGTTTGAAACAAGTAAAGATAAAGTGAATAGTGTTTTATATCAAATAGCCATTTATCTCTATTTCAAAATTACCTGATTGAAGAAATTTTCTATGGTTTGATTAGCGAATTCAGATCTACAAAATACTGTTTATGCAGGATCTGTCAACTTATTTCAAATCTGAAGTCTTTTTCTTAAATTTTAATTAATTAAATTGAAAAGTTATTAATTTTATTTATATTTTGTTTTCAGAAGGAAAGAAAATTGATGCTTTCTTGTACTAGATTGCAGCTTACTGCCTTTTAAAGCATTATCGACATACCTTTCAAAACTAATAGCGAAAACGTGGTTATTTTTATGCTTTTGGCTTTCTAGAGGAGGAATTCCAAGAATATTAAGAATTGTTTTCTCTACTGACAATTCTTAAATTTTACCAAAACAATTAATTTCAGAGGATAACATAAAATACATGAAATTGCTTTAGAAATATTGAGGTATTATTTTGTATTTAAACTACGAAATACAAGAAAATATCTGAGTGGGAGGCATTCTAATTTAATTTTCTTTAAAACTTACCTTAATCCTTAAAGACTAATTATATGAAAGTATGTTATGAAATGAGTTGTACTTTCTTCAGTTTAAGCAGTTTTAGTCACTATTTGTGTACCTAGCTCATAGCATTAAGTTTCTTGTTGTGATGTGAGTGTGCTGGTAAAGTGGAGAGATAAGGTGGCCCCAGCATGTGGTTGCTGTGTGTAACTTGTATGTACTTTCCCCTTTAAAAACACGAATGCCCTTTTTTCAGGTGTCCTTTGCTTGAATCATCAATTGATCATTTACTTCTATAGCATCATTATTATAATTATCCTTAACAACCTACTAATAGATTGAATGCAAGTTTATTATACAGGTGTACTTCACTTTGTGCACAAATGTTTTTTCTGAAAAAAATTGCTTATACATCAAGTTGAAAATCAAATGTATTGGGAGAACTTGCTGCCTTTAAAAATTCTTCATTGAATAAATCCTTTTGTTAATCACATAATCACTGCAAATTAATCTAATTTGGGATTGAGGTTGGGGGGTTGGATTTTCTTAAAGGGAGGCACACCTGTAACAGATCCTTATATTGGAAGAACATTGAATTGGGAAATTTTGAAAATGGACAACGTGACTTTTACTACTTTTAACTTATTAATTTTTAAAATTGGCGTCATTTTCTGTTTTACTCTTTTAGAATACTCCCCAGGTCTTAGCAGGTTCCCAATTCCATGTCTGCCGTTATTATACCCACATGGTGCTGAACTGTTTGTTATATTGCAGGAGTTTGGGAGTCAGTGTGAGCCCTTGACATTGAATTGTAATCTCAGTCTAAATTAATCTTGTTATCTGCTTACATTATTGTACATTGTGTTGAATATGCTTTACTTTTTACATAAAACTGCTCTGTTTCAGTTTTGATAATGGTTTGATTTATTTCTATACTTAAACTACAAATAAATGCTAATATACATTTTTCTTTGTTTTACATAAGAAATAATGTTTTTCTTTTTTTCCTCCTCATCTCTGTGCATATGCTTCCTGTCTACGATTTGCTTACTACTTCTTATTGAAAGATCAAGCAGGTTGGTGTGATTGATTTGCACTCCACGTGGTACAATTATTTAAATTTAAAAGAATTTTGTCACTTAACTATATTACATTTTTAAAATTTAATATTTTTTACAAGGTAAGTATTCATCTTTTGTATTTAAAAATACAACTTTAGTTTTTAAAAAAAAAACTTCCTTTTTTCTCCTCAATTCTTAAAAAATTTATTTCAGTTTTTATTGAGGAAGATATTAGGAACATTCTTGTTTCCAAATTATATTTTTAGGGGAACAATTCAGAACTATTAGGTTGGTGGTGTCAAGCACACAGGATGTGTTAGACCTAATTTAATTAATAAAACAGATAAAAACAAATATACCACCAAAACCAGATGGCATAATCTTTTTTCCAAAATTCCTAAAGACTCATTAAGCCAAATTTTGGAAATACAAATATAAATGATTTCACATTTAAGCATTTCCCCCCCCTTTTTTTTAAATAGAAGAATCAAATGCCTGGTTCCTTATGCCCATGGGTGCTTATGAAATGAAAATGAAGTTAACTCAATTAACACGTCTCTGAGATTCTTCCCTTTAAGTTCACCTTGCCAAAGTTCACTTTTATAGTTTTGGATAGAACACATGGCATAGGGCAATTACAAATATCATTATTCCTGTTTGGCTTAATTACTCTGACATTAACATTTTTCTTTTAGATTTATTTATCTGAAATTTTATGCTAAATTCTATCATGCAGTATTAGAAGAAGAAGCATTTTTTTGTTTGGTTGGTTTGGTTAAGATTTTAAAAAAATCAATGTAAAAGTGACTTTTACATTGCCACATTTTTAAGTGCCTGGTTAGGAGAGTTGGCATATATTTATATTTAGCTTAAAATATTATTTGGGGAGAAATGTAATGATTTATCAGAGTAATTCTGGTAATAATATGTTACTGACATATTGGACTTTTGAAACTGAACCTAGCTATATATGCATGGTCATCTTTATGAAGTGTTACCACAGCACAATAAAATCTTTGCTGCCAAAACATCAGTTTGAAAATATTACCTGAATGGTTTTGAATAACTAATGCAATTTAGGCATTGTAGTCATTTATCATTAGGCATATGCTTTTGTATTTCTACATATAAAATCTATTTATTTTACTGCCTCTTAATGGGTTTGGAATCTGGATGTTTTTAACTGTTAACAAAACAATTAGAACCCTAGAAGCCTAAAATAATTAATGTACATGTGTTCATCAGATCATTTCCTGTATACCATTAGTATCCATGTCCTCACATATACAGTTTTTTTTTTTGTCTTAACATATTTGCCATTTTAAAAAAATATTTGTAATTCTGAAGTGGAAAGGAAGTTATAATTTATTATGCATGTGCTTACTTTGTACCTGAATTTATACTTTTCCCCCTCAAATTTCTAAGAAATAGTATTACCGATGGGAAATTCTTTCTAGGAAGTCATTGGGAATAGGGATTAGATTATTTTTCTAAAATATTTTTTAACAGTGTATGTAATTCAGAACATTCAGTACAGGTGACTGCCAAAAAAGCCAACAGAATCAGGTCTACATCCTGACTTTTGGAATGCAATGAATCACACCACACCAAAGCATGAACTTGGATCAGCGCTTTTATTTACTCTTTTATTTATTTGTCTCGTGGCTTAAGTTTGCTTTGGACTTATGTTTCTATAGAATCGAAGGATAATATATTTGAAACCTTTGGGGGTTTTTTATATAATTTTATCCTAAAGAATTAAAACCTATGAATGATTCTTTGTCTCATGGTTCCTGAAAGACAATATGTTCAGATATATATCTCCATCATCATTATTTTTCAGCTCTCTTTTCTCGTTAGCAGGAAGGGTTAGCTTTTGGGTGGAGACATTAACAATTTATAAAGTCTTCTGGTTTACACTCTTCTGTGGTCCTTTGGGAAGGAAGTTAAGAATGACAGAAAACTTTCAGAAGAGCCTCAGATCAATTCTACGAAAAGCTTGATTGTTTTTCTGAAGGAAAGTATGCTTCAAAGAAATTGTATTACCAGAAATGAATTATCTTTGATTCAGTTTCATAACCAGTTTAATATGCTAGTGTGTCTATTTTCTTTTTTATTTTTCATTTTAATTTCATGATTTTGAAGTTCATTCAGTAAACTTTTATTGGATACTATTTATTTGTAACAATTTAACATTTTTTATACTATTATTTGTTATATAAAGCACTCTAATAGATATTATAACCAAAATAATTAATTGGATGCTGTATTTCCAGCTTTTTTATTTTGTAGTATTTCTATTTATATTTGACACTTGTCATGTTCTTTCTGACTTAGGGAGATTTAGGATCCTGTGTTTGACATAATAGGTTATTTTAGTTATTTATTTAAGGTGTGATATATCATGACAGCTTAGCAACTATAAAGTGCCTGGTTAATTACTATATAACTGTTATATAATTAGTATAGAGTTTTTTTCCTTTAAAAATATACTATTAAATTAAATCAAGTAATTTTATTAAACAAAAGTTTTTTTAATTTTTTAATTAAAATTTATTGGGGTGACAATGGTCAACAAAACTATATAGGCTTCAAGTGTACAATTCTATAATACATCATCTGTGTATTGATTTATGTATTCACCACCCAGACAGAGTCAGTTCTCCTTCCATCACTATGTATCTGACCCCCTTTTAGCCTCTTCTACCATCCCCCTTCCCACTTAGCCTCTGGTAACCACAAAAATTTTATAAACACTAAAGAATATATTAAAAACTATTTGCTATAAGTTCTGCCTGATATTTTTATGTGTTCATTTTATACCTATGTGTGACTTTTGCTTATTCACTTAAGTTTTGGGGAGGTATTTTGAGAGCCGCTTAATTTTGTACTTGGTTATCAGAAAAAAGTAACTAAAAAATCATATTGATTTTTTTGACCATACATGTTATTTAGGGACATACCGATCTTTGCTTTTTTAATTTATTTGGCTTTCTTGTTAATCTCTTTTATTTCCTGCTCATCCGTTTTGCTTCTCTTTCACTTACTTTTGTTCTTAGTTATCATGGCACAATTGGAACAACAGTTTGAATTTAGCAGTTAGTTAAAAAGTTCTTCTAGGAACATAAACATATTATTTATTTGATTTCCTTAAAATGTTGATATTTGATTTTATGTTATTGGGGAATGCAACTTTTATAAAAATGAAGATAATTTGTTCAAGTCTGAAGCACTGACTCTAAAGTGATTGTTGCAATTAAATGACTCAAATAGGTAAAAAGAAAGTTTCCCCTGATAAGATGGTTGAAATGCAAGCAAAAATTGATGAGGAGAGAAAAGCACTTGAAACAAAGCTCGACATGGAAGAAGAGGAAAGAAACAAGGCTAGAGCTGAATTAGAGAAACGGGAAAAAGATCTTCTTAAGGCCCAGTGAGTACTACTGAATTGAGACGGATTTGTGATTTAAATTTCTGCTATTTTTCATAGGCTGTATAAGCAAGAAAATTGAATAGTAATTAAAAGCTTGATTTTTGTCTCCAGAGTAGCTATTTTTGGATAGGAGGTTTTATTGAATATATTGTATTTCTAAAAATTATACCTGTTTTGATTATTTCCCCTCTGTGAGGGAGGAAAATATACCAGTGAATTTGAATTAGTTACAGATTAAATCATAAATTAATACTACCCAGTGGTATAATTTGATAGAGATGTTACATAATTGTATTCCTATTTTGAAATTTTGCATACAAATTCTTGTTAGATTTTGGGAAATGATATTGATAGATTAGTAGATAATTGATGGATATAGAGTGCTCTCATTTTAATCAACAGACAGGAGCATCAGTCTTTGCTAGAGAAATTATCTGCTCTGGAGAAGAAGGTGATTGTTGGGGGTGTTGATTTGCTGGCAAAAGCCGAGGAACAAGAGAAACTCCTTGAAGAATCTAATATGGAACTGGAAGAAAGGAGGAAGAGAGCTGAGCAACTCCGCAGAGAACTCGAGGAAAAAGAGGTGGTGTGACTTTTTGGTTCTGGTTGACTCTTTGCCTAAGGTTTTAGCTTTTCTACCAAAAAGCTAAATACCTGTACCCTTAGTAAAATTTTAAAGTAGATCTCTGGGTTGCTTTGAAGATATAATTGCTAAACATTTATATCATGTGTTAAATAATTAAATTTGTGATTTAATGAAGATTATTTTGAAGTTTATCAATTTTTGTCATAGCAAGAACGCTTGGATATTGAAGAAAAATATACCAGTTTGCAAGAGGAAGCACAGGGAAAGACCAAGAAATTAAAGAAAGTTTGGACTATGCTGATGGCTGCAAAGTCAGAGGTTGGTCTCTTAGAAATTTCCTACTAATGTAGTTCTGAATTTTTTAAAAAGAATTCCTTTAAGTATGATTAAGAATCCTAAAGGAATGATAATGTGGGCTTACAATTTTAAAGAAATAAAATGTTTTCCTTATGTGAAATTTTTGATTTTAGCTATTAAGCTAAATTGTTTAACTTTAACTACTAACATGGAACAGCAGACAGCGATAGTGTCACTCTGTCCATTGTTTCTGTGAAAGAACTGAGTGAGCCCTTCCAGGGCCTCTTAGAGCAGTGCCCTATCAGACGAAACTGTTTCTTATTTAAAATCTTGTTTGTCCTTAGTATTTTCACTGATTTTCTCGTAGATGGCTGATCTCCAACAGGAACACCAGAGGGAAATTGAAGGCCTGCTGGAGAACATTCGACAACTTAGCAGGGAGCTACGACTTCAGATGCTCATTATCGATAACTTTATACCTCAGGATTATCAGGTAAGAGTGACGTTCTCCTACCTAGATACTAGGTCACTTGGCTGGAGTTAAGGAGTAAGGAAATATAGTTTTTCACTTAATTGGTGCTAAGTATTTACACTTCAGTTGATGATGATAAAATTTTCTTGAAGTAATGCCATCACATTTCACTTAAGCTGTTAATTTGATACATAATTCTCTGTTTCTGCACCCAAGTATCTAAATAAGAATTTCTTAGCCCTTTGGAGGAATCCAGATTCATGTATAGCATGTCCTCAATAACGTCATTTCATTCAGTGTGATTTTGTTATAACATTGATGAGAAAAAAAATTGATTCCCAGGGCCGGCTGAGTGGCACATTGGTTAAGAGTTGGCTTGGGACACCAGCTCTGAGCAGCAGGGCCCTGGTTCGGATCCCACATGAGGGCCAGTGATGCTGCCCTCTACAGCTAAGAAGGTGAACAACAGTTCAACCTGGAGCTGGGCTGCCATGAGTCGCTGGTGATGGCGTACGCTGCAGTGTGGCTGGCTAGCAGCTGGCGTGAGCTGCCATGAGCCACCGTGAGCGGCCGTCCAAAGGCCAGTGAGCGACTGCCTCACCCGGGAAGACACAATGATAATAGCAACTTGGGCCAGTGAAGCAACGTCCTCCACAACTAGACTGAAGAACAAAAGGACAACAACTTGTCTGTTCCCCTTCCCCCAATTCCCCAACACTTCCCTCCCCCAATTCCCCAATAAAATCTTTAAAAAAAAAATTGATTCCCAGCTGGGAACACTGTCTGTGGAGTTTGCATGTCTCCCAGTGTCTGTGTGGGTTTTTCCAGGTCCTCTGGTTTTTTTCCACACCTCAAAGATGTGCACATGAGGTGAATTGGTGTGTCTAAATTGTCCCAGACTGAGTGTCTTCCCCCTCTGAGGGAAGGGCGTCTGGTCCAGGGTGGTCCCTCCCTTTACCCTGAGCTTCTAAGACAGGCTCCAGCCACCTGCGAATATATTTCTCTGAACTAGGGTGAGTGGGTTGGAAAAGAATTATCTTACTTGGTTTTATCAATCTTTTTTTTTTAAGATTTTTTATTGGGGAATTGGGGGGTTGGGAACAGTGCTGAGGAATTGGGGGAAGGGGAACAGACAAGTAGCTGTCCTTTTGTTCTTCAGTCTAGTTGTGGAGTTGCTTCACCGGCCCAAGTTGGCACCATCATTGCGCTCTTCCCGGGCAAGGTAGATCAGTCGCCGGCTTCTGGACGGCCGCTCACGGTGGCTGCTGGCCGCTCATGCTGGCTGCTGGCTACACATGGTAGCCCATGACAACCTACTGCAGCAGGGGCTGCAGCCTACACTGTTGCCAGCGACTCAACCGCAGCCCAGCTCCAAGTTTTGAGCTGTTGTTTAGCATCTTAGCTGTAGAGGGCAGTGTCACTGGCCCTCATATGTGGGATCCGAACTGGGGCGCTCTGGCGTCCCAAGCCAGCTTTTAACCAACGTGCTACTCGGCTGGCCCTTATCAATCTTTTGTAAATGTATGTATAGCTCACATTTATTTCAATGTTCAATATTAGGTGTTCAGGGTCTTTATTTAGAAATTTGGTGATTTTTTTTTTTTGTGACCAGAAATATGCCGTAGAAACTTAACTCTTGTTTATATCAATTAGTCTGTGGTAAAACTGGTTTCTTTATACCCCGTTTTGCTTAAAGTCTCATTTTCCAAGAATCTATTGATGATGTTAAGTGAGGACTTACTGTAAGTGCAGTCGAACCAAGGTATAGGCCCTATTTATCCATTCAATGACCTTTATCCTGTAAGTAGAATAAGCAGGATTCCTGTGCTTTTCCTTTCTGCTTATGGATGCTAATTCTGTGTGTGGGAAAAAATATACGCAACATGAAACTGACCATTTTAACTATTTTTAAGAGTACAGTTCGGTGACATGAAGTATACTCACAGTGTTGTACAACCACCACTATTATCTATCGCCAGATGGATGCTAATTCTTAATGATAGTATAATTTAAAAATCTCAGTCTCTATTTTTCTTTACTCAAAATTTTCCTCTTTCCGGTATATTTAGTAAACTTGAAATATTTAAAAAAATTTATTTTGAATCTCTATGTTGGTTTTGTCTGAAAATAAGCCTCAGTGTTTTTTTCCTTTGGACCTCAAGTGGACAGAATTAATCTCAGGTTCTTGGTACACTCCCCTTATTGGTCCTTCGATGGCCTGCTTTGATTTAGTTAGTTATTTTGTGGTGAACTCATCACCCCAAACAAAAGCTTTGCCCATGACAGTAACCTGCTTCCAATCAAATAGTTCCCTCTCCCTTCTTCCAGCTGTTTGTCTCTTCCAGCTCAGGGTAACCGTCATCCCGAGTCCTAAGTTCTCCATTTCCTTGCTTTTTACTTTATATAGTTTAATTGCATCTACATGTATTTCTTAAAAGCATATATTTTTTTAATTTATTAAAAGTATATCATGCAGTATATAACGTTTTGAGACAACTTTTTCTTTTTAATGTGTTAAGATTTTAGTTTCATGAATATTTTTCAGTATTTTAGATGTTATTAAATGTTAAAATTAGACTATCTTTGACTCTTTTGAAAGGAAATGATTGAAAACTATGTCCATTGGAATGAAGACATAGGAGAGTGGCAGCTAGTGAGTATTACCTTCATCCTTTCATGAAATACTTGCAGAGTACTTCCTGTGGACTGTAAATTTAGCTGGCTTTCACAAGGAGAAAAGTGGTTCAGAGGAGGGATCAGATGAGAATCCAGTAGGGCGGATAAGATGTTTTTCTGATTAACTATGTTATAACACACAGAGTTTTCAGTGGAAATGGTGTAGGCCAGGGCTACATAGGACTGAAGGACCCCTAAGTCCCATTCTGTTCCAGCATTCAGATCATGTTTTATGCCTGTAACATCAGCATGTCTCATAGTGATTTGCTTATTTGTGAATAAACTTTTTCACTAGCAAAGTATTCATTGCTAATTAAGACAATTGTTCTCTGCCTCTTTTTTTCCTTTTTTTGAGAAATGTGTTGCCTACACAGGAAATAACATGAGGAAGCAGACTCCAGTTCCTGATAAAAAAGAGAAAGATGTAAGAGTGCTTTTTTTTTAATTAGTTGTTTCTTTATAGGAATGTGGGTCACTGTGTTATCAACATGATGTCTATTAATTGGCTAATCTTTGGGGAATAGAAGCTCTAGGATGGAGTGATTACTAGGACAGTTCTGCTCACCTTCAGTCGGGATGGCAGGCTTCTTTCTGCCCCGGGAGTGGCATGGAGTCATTGTCAGAGTCACCCTTTACCACCTTTCTGCGTCATGGGGATATGGTCAGAGACTAGAATGTTCTTTTCAAAGGCAGTCCCTTTTTTTTTTTTTTTAAGATTTTTTTTGGGGAATTGGGGAGATGGGAACAGTGCTGGGGAATTGGGGGAAGGGGAACAGACAAGTTGATGTCGTTTTGTTCTTCAGTCTAGTTGTGGAGGACGTTGCTTCCCTGGCCCAAGTTGGCACCATCATTGCGCTCTTCCCAGGCGAGGCAGATCAGTCGCCGGCTTCTGGACGGCCGCTCACTGCGGCTGCTGGCCGCTCACGCTGGCTGCTGGCTATGGCTGCTGGCTGCTGGCTACATACGGTAGCCCATGGCAACCCACTGCCACAGGGGCTGCAGCCTACGCCGTCGCTGGCGACTCATGGCAGCCCAGCTCCAGGTCGAGCTGCTGTTCAGCATCTTAGCTGTGGAGGGCAGTGTCACTGGCCCTCATATGTGGGATCCGAACCGGGGCCCTCTGGCGTCCCAAGCCAGCTCTTTACCAGCGCGCCACTTGGCCGGCCCCAAAACCAGTCCCTTTTAAAGCTGTAAGAAATACAGCTTTAGGGAGAACAGCAGCAGTTTTTCTCTACTACTAAGGAATTTATAGTGTGTCAGGGCTTATTCACCAACCCTTGGTGAATACATTTGAGATAAAGGGCATTAGAAGAAGATAATCTTTAGACATTTATTTGGTCTTGTCTTCTGTGGCTTTTTTCTAGGAATTTATTTAGTATTTTAAATCTTTCCCCAAATTTGATTTAACTTCTTCCCCTAAGAGTATCTGGTGTGTGCTTCCTTTTCTTAGCCCTTTGAAGTGGACCTTTCCCACGTGTATCTTGCCTATACTGAGGAGAGCCTGCGGCAGTCCTTGATGAAATTGGAGAGGCCACGGACTTCAAAGGGAAAAGCAAGGCCAAAGACAGGGAGAAGGTGAGGATTGTTTTTGAATACCGTGAAATAAGGCAATGAGATATGCTAATTAGATACGTTTAAAGAAAATTTAGGTAATACGATAAATGCTTTTTGGCTGATATATTTAAATAAACCTCAAAGTTCTTAATGTAGTTACGATTTGAGTAAATACAATCTTGCTAAAGAATTAAGGTCTTCCAACTTCTTTAGCCCTCCTGAGCAATAAAATTTATTTATTTATTTATTTTTAAATTTTTTTAATAGCTGAGCCATCCTGCCACCTGTTGGCAGCTCAATGGCTGCTCAGCTCAGGCCGTGAATGGAACCGGGGACCCTGTTGCTCAGAGCTCACACTCTGTGCGAGCTTTTAACCAACTGAGTTACTCGGCAGGCCTTAGAATTTATTTTTAATGTATTTTGTTCTTTAAAAATATGTAAGTTACCTGCTATCTTAATTCCTTAATTCTTACACTAATTCTTCTAAAAGATGCTAATTAATTTGCCTGGTTAGACTGGCAAGGTATTGTATTCAGTTGATTCGTTTTTCTATCATAAAAATTGTCCCAAGAACCTTGATTTCCTTAGTTGCCAGTTAAAACTTCTCTGACCATCTTTCCTTCTCCTTTGGGTGCTGGTTATGACTGTTGAGTCGTCTGTATGTGTCATAACATAAGCTCAGGGAAACGAGGATGTAGGTGCCTTAGGCTGGGGCTTATTTCTTCTCTCCCTACCCTACATCAAGTAATATTCAACTTACTTAAACTGAATGTAAGATTTTGGGGCTCCTGAAATGAGAGGAAATAATAAGCTTATTTTTTTCCTGCTTTGAGGACATAGACTTTTGAGTTATATGTAGTGTGAAGTTGTATGGTTTTAATATTTTTGTGTGGAAAGATTTCATACACAACCTAACATTTATAAATTTGGGATAGTTGAACTCAGGGAAGAATAATCAATAGCATATTAAAAGTATACAAATTTTTACGATTTTTAGCATTTAGATGTCAGAGGTTAAAAACTTCATATTCCAGCAGAAGCCATGCATGTAATATTAATGATCAAAACATAACAGTTCAAAAAACACACAAGCCCCTTTACCTGTTTCACTTTTCTACTTTTAATAGAGATGTGTTCCTCTTAATTCTGGAATTAGTAAGAAAAATAACAATGCCAGTGTGATAATAAAGGCTAAGACAGTTGGCCTCAGTGTAGGTGAAAGACAGGCTGTGGTGGGGACGGGGCAAAATGGAGAGTGGCCTGTGTGGAATGGCCGCTGCTCTGCTCCTGGTTAGTTTTGGGAATAGAGGGCCCCTTGTTTCTAAATCTGACTGTTTCAAAAGAGAAGCCAGATATTGAATAATTTGCATGAGATCTCTCAGTTTTTAGTCACTTTTGTAAAACTATGTGGACCTAAAAGAAACAAAGAAATAACTTGATATGGTATTTGGATACAGTTTTCAGAATGCTCATTTAAAATATATACCTTTTTAATTTAACCAATAATAATAATAAAAAAGCACATGAACCAAAAACATTAGATGAGCCAAACCCAGCATCCCTGTGCACCAGAATTAGCCTGCTGTATTATGAAAACGATAGATGGCCATGAACATAGACAAATATACACAATCAGTGGTTTATTGATATTACATTACATGTTAATGTTCAGTGTGGTGTTCTTTATGAGACATGTACAGTTCAATGTGCTAAGCAAAACTGCTATAAACATGGTATGTTTATGTAGCCTTCCCATCAGTCCCTACACGTGCATCTGTGCATTGTTGCCTCAGATGATGTGTGTCTCTGATTTTCGTGGAATACGCCTGCACTTTTAGCATGCCCCACAGAGGTAGTCGGGGGTTGGTCTGGCAAGCATGCACCCCACTTGTCCTGGCCACGTAGTCTAGTCCAGTTTTGGAAATTATCCTCCATTTAGTCCCTCACCGCCCTGGGTGGGGGCCTGCCATGGTCTTGCATCTACTCTAGGTGACCTCCCCTGGCCTGATAAGGTGGGCATGAACTGGCCTCGTAACATGGTCACACATGTCAGACTGTGGCCTGTCTCTAGACGCTATGGCCGCCATGTGTTATCTTACTACATAATGGAAAGTGTTTGCATTTCAATCTTTGAGGAAAGTGCTCATGTTTTCTTTTTTTCTTCTCCAAACAGAAAGCGTTCTGCAAAGCCTGAAACGGTAATTGACTCTTTACTTCAGTGAATGGTACAGACTGAAAATCTCAATAAAAATCAGTGATACTCTCATGCCTGGACAAAATCTTTAACTAAAACACTGAAGACTTCTGTGTAATTTCAAATAATGGAAGCTGTAAATCATGGAGTTAGACTGGAATAATTTGTCTAATAACTGTTAGTCTATATATATGAAGTTAATATAACATATTAAAATTGCACATCTGGTAGTTGTTCAGACTGTTGTATTACTCTTCAGTTTATACTATGCAGGGAAGTTGGGGGAGCAGCTCATACTATAGAGAGTTGCAGTTTAAATGTATACATAAGTCTGCTAGTAATTTACTCAACTTACTGTGTATTTAGATAACTGGATATTCAAAATAGAAATGTATGTCCTGTTTTGCACACAGACAGTAGCAGTTCTAATTGCCCGATGCTGGGCTGTTATATACGCATGTATGGGCTATAAAACGCAGAAATGATTCAATCATAACCCCGCTCGGCCTGTTTAAATATGTACTAATTTTTATACTATCAGTCATAACATTTTAAGTATTAGATGACTGATCTTACTGATCTGTAGAAAATTTGTAATTTGGCAGTCATTCTTTAGAAGTATACAAGTTTAACAAAAGTTGAAAATATGTTTCATCTGGATCTCTCTTGACCTTTTTTGCCACTTTGAGTTCAAGTCAAATATACTTTTTTGTTCTGGTTTCATGTTCTCCTGAAACATTGAATTTGTACCTAAACATAAAGGAGTCACAGTAGCAGAAAATTGAGAAGCTAAACACTGGTCACTAATCTTTACACATATGTGTATATTTTTAAAATTCACTTTGAAGTGTGATTAATGGATGCTTTCCTTTGAGTTCTAAATTTTGATGGGAATTGCTCTGTATCTCCCAATTGAGAAAGGTCTCCATTTTTCAGATACAACCAAAGCAAGAAAAATATCTTTTAATCCTTTACCTTTAAAACACTTGTTTTGTTTTTCTTCATATTTTATTTAAAAAGTATTCTTCCCTGAATTTCTTGCATTGACCCAGTTAGACCATATTCCTCTAAAAATAAAAAACATTTTTATTTTATAGTAAAATAAGTTGTAATAGAATTGTATTTTCTTTTGTTGGCTGCTTACAAAATTTGATTTTTTTTAGCATTATGCTATACCTATACCACTTAATGTGTCTTTTATGAATTGTAAAATTATGTAATCAGCCCTGAAACATTGATTGCAAGTTTTGAGACTTCATAAATTAGTATTTATGAAATTAACATTATTTTAAGGAGTTTGGTTAAATATTGGTTTATAATTACAAAGCTGTGTATAGAGAGGGGGTGAGTGAAGGTGGTGTACTTGTGCAGTGGTTGTAAAAATGTGTCCATAAACTTAAAGTACACTCCAAAGGGGTGTACTAAATGTCCTGTGTATGGTGCGTATTTTCTAGGTAATAAGAATTGCATTTCACTGGCAGCATTTTCTTTGTATAACTTTACTCTGTGGGGCATTATTTATGTACTTTGAAGACTTAAGGTGAATTTGTGTTTGTAAATGCTTTGTGTCGGCAAAATATCTCAGCAATTACAGATGCACATTTAACTCTGTTAGTAATTACTCTAGAGAGATCTTAATTTTACCAGTAGAAAGAAAAGATGAATACTTCTTTTTAAAAGTCTGCATTTCTAGCCTTTAACCATGCAGTTAATAAGAAAGGAGTAACTTTTGCATTAAGCTCTAAAACAGTATAGAAAATTTAAGCCAGTATGTTAGATTTTTTCTGTTCCATTCAACTGTAGTAACAAGCAACCTATAAAAAAAGCATTGAGAAATTGAAAAAACAGGCTGCTTCAGCAGGGATTTTTTTTTTTAAGCATTTATGTTAGAACTGATTATACCGGATGGATAATAAATATTCATCTTGTGAAATACCAAAATTAGATATTTGATACAGGCCTGAATAATCCAGGTGAAAATATGGACACTGACTTCAGAGCTATTCATTTACCTCCAATCATAGCAGTTTCTTCACATTTATTGTGCCTTTGTGCACAAGTGAAATATTTTGTAACTTCAGTATTTATTTCATGAAAGGATATAGATGAACAAACATGCTCATTATATGAAATCGGAAGGTTTAAAATGAGTGTCACATATAAGTAGTTTTTTTTTTAAAAAAATAGGTTTTTGAATGGGTATTTTCTCTTTAATTTAAAATAGTAATATTTATTTATTAAAAGGAGCCTTGGTAGAATGTTGTTTGTGGTATGTTCTTTAATAAACCCCCTGTAATTAAATATACTAATATTCAGGTTATTAAAACAGAATAGTATTCTCCATTTTTGTTTAGGTTCTTGTAAAGTGTAAGATTAATCAAAGGGGGGAGGGTCTGTCTCTGTGTGTTTATCCCACAAGTGGAATCCGTTGACAAGCTGTGTGATCTACTTTTCTAGGAAAAGGGGACCTTTTTTTTGCAGCAAGAAATTTAAGGTTACTTTGGGGGTGGTGCCACTTTGTAACATGTTTTTTAAATTATGATTATGGTTTTGGGGTTGTATTTTTTTGTGTTGTTTCTTTTTAGTCTTTTAAGTTTTTTCCTTAACTCTTATCTTAAGGAAGGTCCTTCTCTTCCCTGCGGGGCTGTGAATTAAGGAATGGGTAGGGTTTACACTTAAGGACGCCAGTGTCTGCCCATTTCTTACTGTATACATTTCTCTTCCTTTTTAGTTATTCTTTGTTCTGAAAATGCTAGAAGAAAACATAGATCTTCCTAGTGCCTTTGAACTTACACTGTAGTCTAAATCATTAACAACTTCAATAGCATTAGTACAATACTGTATACTGGCCAAAATTACAAATTATACAGTGAGTTTGTTGCATTAATTTCAAAAGCCACACTTCCATTGTATTTTATGTATAAATTGTATTTGTTCAAGTTGTACATATTGATCTTGTGTATACACGTGCAGCATGGTTAAATAAAAAATAAAAATGTTTACCTAATGCCTGTAGTAGTGGTAATCCTTACAGAATTATTTTGGTGTTTACATCAATCCTGATACAAATAGGTGGGTTCTTCATGAGTGGCATCTCGGTTTCATATGATGGAGAGAGGCCTGTGGAATTTCACACCCAGAAACTCAGTGGCGTGGGTCTGTCAACAGAAACCATCATGAAACAGTAACTAGGGAGAGCTGTTTTTAAACGGGCTTTCTCTCATTGATAAAATTTCTTTTCACCAAAAATATTTTTATCCAGGTTTTGTTCTCCTTTCCATTAGGTGTTTGAGAACAGAAACTTGAAGTGTGTACATAGAGTGTATCTCACTAAAAGGTAAAAGGAGACATTTTTGAGTGGTAATGATATGATCTCTTTCAAAACATTTCAGTGAGCTTAAAGCATCTCTAAAACAATAACATTGCTTGGATTATTGTTAGTTGTGGATTCTTTTGACAAACATTTACCAGGCACCATGCTAGGAGGCCTTGAAACTTCACAGAGGACATTGAGAGGTTTTGATTTGTAGGCAAGTTTCAAGGGACTTAAATGTGCTTTTGACACGGCAGACTCCACTGGCGACTTCAGGGCTTGCTCTCTTCCTTTCCCCAACTGCTAGCTTATTTTATAAACTCCTGCATGTGAAGATAAAATGAAAGGCCTACCATGGCAGAAACAAGATAGTAAAAACTGCTGTCTTCGTACCCTCCTCCCCTTTTCCCCAGTTGAATTTTGGAGCTGTGATATTCACTTTCATCAGGCAACGCGCATTGTCCATCCCATTTTCTCCTGAAGACCCTCCAGAAATCTCTTTTAAAACCAAGTACAAACAAAACAAAAAAACAAAAGGGCTGGCTGAGTGGCGCGTTGGTTAAGAGCTGGCTTGGGATGCCAGCTCTGAGCTACAGGGCCCTGGTTCGGATCCCACATATGAGGTCCAGTGACACTGCCCTCTACAGCTAAGATGGTGAACAACAGCTCGACCTAGAACTGCGCTGCCGTGAGGCGACGGCGTAGGCGACGGCGTAGGCTGCAGTGAAGCTGCAGTGGGCTGCTGTAAAGCTACTGTGAATGGCTGGCAGCCAGCGTGAGCTGCCAAGAGCTGCCTGTGAGCGGCTGTCCAGCGGCCAGCGAGCGACTGCCTCACCCGGGAAGAGCGCAATGATAATACCAACATGGGCCAATGAAGCAATGTCCTCCACAACTAGACTGAAGAACAAAAGGAGAGCAACTTGTCTGTTCCCCTTCCCCTGATTCTCCAACACTGTTCCCCTCCCCCAATCCCCTAATAAAATCTTTAAAAACCAAACATAAAAACCCCCCAAAGTATCAGTGTAAGGGACCACAGTTGGCCTGTGCGCACGGGAACAGTTAACATAGCTCTGAAGCCACAATTTAGAGCGAGCTGGAGGAGCCCTCTAAACCATTTGCTATAACATTATCTGAATGTCTCATTCTTAACTTGTGTCATTTGCATAGCAAATCAGATATTTCGTCCTCCTTCGGAAGTTGAACAAATGTGTGGGAAAATGATTATGAAGAGGCTACTTCAAAAAGGACCTGTTTCCTCTGAGTGTTTATCTTGGGCTTCCTGTGACCCAGCCTTCAAGCTACTTTTATCAACGTTATCAGAACATCACTTTGTCTTACTCAAACACGCTTAGGGCTCTGAGTGAAGAATATGACAGATCAGACGCCTTTCCACACCTGCTCCCCTCCCCCATCCCTGTTTAGAGGGCTGGGGAAATTTTAGTTTCTAATCAAAGGCTTTATTTCTCCAGCTGTACAAAGGAATTGAACTGGGACTTTACAACTGAATACAATATTTCTCAGAGTTGATACCAATCTTAGCAAGAGGATATTGCCTAACCCAACCCAAAAGTTCCAGAGCCATTACAGAGATACTACGTTGGCCTTGACTTCTACTCCATCCTGAGCTCTGCTACTCAGTCACCAGGTGTCTCCTGGATTTACTGTGTACCTGTCCTGTGCTGAGCAGAAGGTTCTTGCAAAGCTCCCAGCCTCCCCCAAAGAGAGAGGTGGCTGCGTAAAGGGGGAATGACAGTGCAGCTATTGAGGAGGGTGAAGGGTGAGCTGCCAGGTCCCACGTTCTCCCCTAGCAGCTAACGGTGCCTGGCACATGTCTACCCCACCAAAAGGTCAGAAACGCCGTCTTCTCAGGGGAAGCATTGTCTGGGGTGTTAAAGCAGTCCTACACATGGGTAAAGGCCCTCCAGGCAGAAGGAGGAACGTGAATCTAGATGCCATGTGCATTGGTGGTATGTTTGGAGCAGGGCAAAGGTTTGGGACAGCTGAACCCTAAATGGAAAGAGAGGCCAGGATCCTATTGTGAATTTTCCGTAAGCCGTGGGAAGCCGCGGAAGGATTTTAGGTGGGTCACTCACATTGTTTGTGTTTTAGAGAGACTACTGCTGGAAAGACTGAAGAATTAGATAGGAGGGTGCTGGGAGAGCAGGTGATGTCCACACCTGTGCCTGAGGCTGAACTGGTCCTGAGCCAGAGCAGCTACCCTCCGTCTGTCCTCAGCTGGCTCTCACAACTGTGACCAGTACCTCCACTGATGGGACATACGTCTCTCTTTTTTTTTTTTTTAGATTTAATTGGGGAATTGGGGTAAGGGGAATAGTGTTGGGGATTTGGGGAAGAGGAACGGCCAACTTGTCCTTCAATCTTAGGTGTGGAGGGCGCAGCTAGCTCAGCTCCAAGTCTAGTTGCCATCCCAACGACTAGCTGCCCGATGGTAGCTCGCAGCCACTCAGGTCAAGGTGCTGTGTTCAATCTTAGTTATGGGTGGGCATAGCCCACCATCCCATGCAGGAATCGAACCAGCAACCTTGTTGCTAAGAGCGCATGCTCCAACCACTGAGCATCTGGTTTTCTGTCGTCAGCTCAGGGCAGGGCAGCTCAGCTCAGTCTCAGCTCACTGGCCCTTGTGGGATTTGAACGGGCGACCCTGTTGCTCAGAGCTTGTGCTCTTAACCAACTGAGCCGCTCTGCCAGCCCCATCTCTACTTCTCTTTACTCCCATTGCCTAGCAGGTAGCCAGGTGTTCAGTCAGCACAGGAAACATCAAAACATGCTTGTGTTTGGTTGAACACTGACTATTGGAAACAAGAAAGGAACAGACAGACCACTTAGGGACTGAAAGCTGAACTAGGACGAAGTTGACAGGAAGGATGGATTAGAAGAGAAACACTTTCTTTTTTCTAAAATAGTATTTATTGGGGTGACATTGGTTAGTAATAATTATATAGGATTCAAGTGTACAATTCTATGATACATCATCTATGTATTGCATTGTGTGCTCACCACCCAGAGTCAGTTCTCCTTCCATCACCATATGTTTGACCCTCTTTTCCCTCTCCTACAACACCAGCCCCCCTTTTCCTCTGGTAACCACAAAACTGTTGTCTGTGTCTGTGAGTTTTGTTTGTTTGTTGCTTTCAGTTTTATATCCCACATGTGAGTGAAATCATATGGTTCTCAAATTTTTCTGTTTGACTTATTTAACTTAGCATGATATTCTCAAGATCTATTTATGCTGTCGCAAATGGCAGTCTTTTAGAGAGCCAAAGAGCGAATGCCTGAGTGCTCAAGGTGAAGGCCAGCTCAGGAAATGTGAGGCCTGGCCTCTAACTAGGAGGTTTTAATGGTCCACCTGAGAATGGAACTTGAACTTGTGCCAACAGATTGAACCAAGGCATCAGCCCTGTAACTGGTGGGACCCCTGCGTTGGCCTTTGTGGGAACTGAGAGCTAGCCTTGCATGCCGCCAGGCCCGCTGTGCCTTGCTCCTGGGTAAAGCTGTGCACTGTACTCTGCCCTAAAACCCCCTTCCTCAGGTGAATCGGGCACCCAGAAAGGCTGGCAGAGATAACATGTGCAGGACAGTGGGGAAAAGGACAGCAGGGTTCCTGGCAGGGACACAGCAATAGCAGCAGGAGAGCCCCTGATGCATTTTTATCAGAGCCCAGTATTTCTAACTGTGGCCCAAGAATGTTTCAATAAAAGACAGCCAGCCATAGATTTGAGCAAAATGTTTTTTCTTCATGCGTTTATTCAATAAGTATTTATTACCTGCTAATGCCATTTAGAGATGTCATATATTCATAGGTAACAGGCAGAGGTAGCAGAGAGCAGGGAGGGAGAGGGTCAGCCTCTGCTGTCCATGTCCCCTGTTCCAGGCACAGGCAAAAGGCATGTGCACTGAAGCGGGCATGGGCTGTGGCTGAGTTTCCTAAGTGAATGTGCACAAATGACAAGCATCTCAACTTTCACTCAATCCTCAAGTTTCTTCACTCATTCTTTTTATGTGCGTCCTCCTCAATTCATGTTCTCTCACTCCCTTGGTAAACATAAGGGCTTATTGGTGGGTGTATCTGTCCAGAGCCCAGTCTGGCAGTAAATAGAAATGTTAGCTGCATCTTAACCATTGAAACTCCCCTGGTGACAGGCCCGTCTGGAGCCTGCCTATGTCCTTCTGTGGCCCGTTCTAAATAGTTCTTCCCGACAGCCTTTCTTTTACCATCCTGGCCTCATACACAAACTGCAACCCGCAGCTCATATCCTGTGGCAGGCTACAGCTCACATTCGCCAGTGAATGCAAGCAAGTCTCAATCAAAGAAGAAAGGAAACTAGCATTTTCAGTGTGGCCTTCTAAGGCTCCATGACTCTCTTAGGTACTTGTTGTCCTTGGCATGCCGGTATTTCATGTGGGCAGGCTGAAACTGGCTGTGGTCAGGGCGAGACTTGAAGCTTTTGATTTTTTCCCCCCTTATTTTGAGGGGGTTAAAAAGATGTTACATGCTTGGGTATAATTTTAGTACTAGTATTAATTTTTGCCACATGTGTAAGCGAGGATGAAAAGAATGCTCATTCACTGTTACTAGATCCCTATTCTTGCAGAGCACGTCTTCAAAAGGCAAGTTTCAATGACTTGACACTTGTTATTTTTCCGCTTTAATTTTTTTTAAATAACAGCTTTGTTGGGATATAACTCATTTCATATCAAATTCATCCTTTTAAAGGATACAAGTCAGTGGATTTTAGTATAGTCACAGACTTGTGTAGCCATCACCACTATCTTATATAAGAACATTTCCATGTCCCCAGAAGAAACCCTGTATCCATTAGCATCACTCCCTTATTCCTAATCCCCCCAGCCCCTAGCAACCTGCACTCTACTTCTTGCCTCTATAATTTTGCCTTTCTGGACATTTCATATAAATGCAATCATAAATACCACACGTGGCCTTTTTGTGTCTGGCTTCTTTCACTCAGCATAATGTTTTCAGGGTTTACCCGCATTGTAGCGTGTGTCAGTACTTCATTTCTTTTTATTGCTAAATAATATGTCATGGTATGGACATACCACATTGTGTTTATCCAGTCATCAGTTGATTGACGCTTGAGTTATTTCTACTTTTTTGCTATTATGAATAATGCTGCTATGAACATTTGTGTAGAGGTTTTCGTGTGAACGTACGTTTTCAGTTCTCTTGGGTAGATACCTTGGAGTGGAATTGCCAGGTTGTGTAGTAACTCTCCTTAGCCTTTTGAGGAACTGCCACACTGTTTTCCAAAGTGGCTTCACCATTTTCCAATCCCACCAGCAACGTCTGAAGGTTCCAGTTTTTCCACATCTTCACCGACGTTTGTGATTGAGTGGTTTTTTTAGTTTTAGTGGGTCTTTTTTTTTTTCATTTTTAAGAATATTTTAGGGCTGGTGGAGTGGCTCAATTGGTTAAAAGTTCGCTCAAGAGTGTGAGCTCTGAGCAACAGGGTCACCGGTTCGATTCACGGCCCAAGCTGAGCTGCCGCTGAGCTGCCAATAGGTGGCAGGATGGCTCAGCTAAAAAAAAAAGAAAAAGGGAATATTTTACCTTTGTGTGCATGGTCACGTCACACACAGACTTAAAATGGAAAGCCAACAGTCTCCTGCCTTGCTTCTACCCATCCTTATTCTAAATCCCGTTCCCAACAAACCACCTTCCCTTTTTTTGTTTTTAGTTTTTCATTTTTCTGGTGGCTACTGTCATAATTCCAAAGATTTCTGGATTCACTCACTATTGGGTTTTTTTTCACTTTTATTTTGAAAACTTTCAAACAGTAGTACAATCAACCCCCATGTACCCATCCCCAGCTACAGCAATCAACTCATGACCAGTCTTGTCAACTATTTTTTTTTTTAAGATTTTTATTGGGGAATTGGGGAAGGGAACAGTGTTGGGGAATTGGGGAAAGGGAACATTATGTTTTTCCAGGACCCATCAGCTCCAAGTCAAGTTGTTGTCCTTCAATCTTAGTTGTGGAGGGCGCATCTCAGCTCCAAGTCCAGTCGCCACTTTCAATCTAGTTGCGGGGGGAGAGGGGGCACAGGCCACCATTCCATGCGGAAGTTGAACCTGCAACCTTGTTGTTAGGAGCACGTGCTCTCACCAGCTGAGCCCTCTGGCGGGCCCTCCACTATTTTTTGGTTTATCAACTTTAGCTATTGTATGTTGATTTCCTTAATGAAAAGTGAGGCTTTACCTCATTAATCTATCCCTTCCAAGTGTTTTATTGTAAATTATTTTTAGATCTTTTATTATTTCTGCAGTTAGGAATACATATTTAAATCTCTTGGTTTTTTGTTTTTTTTTAAAGATTTTTATTGGGGAATTGTGGGAAGGGAACAGCGTTGGGGAATCGGGGAAGGGGAACAGACAAGTTGTCCTTTTGTTCTTCAGTCTAGTTGTGGAGGACATGGCTTCACTGGCCCATGTTGGTATTATCATTGTGCTCTTCCCAGGTGAGGCAGTCGCTCGCCTGCCATTGGACGGCTGCTCACGCTGGCTCATGGCAGCTCAGGAAAACTCATGCCAGCTGCCTGCCACCCCCATTGCAGCCTACGCCGACGGCGGGACTCACGGCAGCCCAGCTCCAGGTCGAGCTGTTGTTCACCGTCTTAGCTGTAGAGGGCACAGCGTCACTGGCCCTCATGTGGGATCCGAACCGGGGCCCTGCTGCTCAGAGCTGGCGTCCCAAGACAACTCTTAACCAATGTGCCACTCAGCCGGCCCCTTTAAATCTCTTGTTCATTAACCTCAGACATCATTGCTTAACTGACCCCCTTGTCGAGTGAGCTGGGGCTATTAGTGTTCCACCTCTCTTTCTTTCCTTTTGCTTTTACCCCTCAACCATTTTCAGCTATACCTTTTATATACTGTCAGGTGGGTAGTGTTTATAGTCTGTTCTGTAATCACAATTAAGTCTTCTGTGCTTTGTTGGTTCTAAGACTTGAGAATCAAGAGAATTTACATTATTAGCACTTTAAATATTGTTCACTGCAGAGCCATGTAGTGTGCTAGAATTACATTTTACCCCCTCTAGACTCACTATAACAACCCTTGTGCTGATGAGAGAAGAGTGTTCTAAACACCCAGTTAATACCGTTTCAATTCTAAATTATTTGGTAGTCAGTAGGACTCATGGACCCACTTTGCAAGCTGTCTTTTTCTTATCGTTTACATCTTGTGTGGCCTTGTATTCCTTAATCATTTTTGTGCATTATGTCACCAGTTAGAGGGGGAACCCCTTGAGAGAGAAGCTATCTTTCCTTTTTTATTTCCACACTAGTTCCTTGGTACATAAATTGGTTTCCCCAAAAGTTGTCAAGTAAACAGCCAATGCTATTAAAGTGAAATCATGATGTCAGATTTTACATATACTTTATTTTATGATGATTTATAAATATATAAATATTTTTAAAATAAGGCTATTAAAAACTCATAAATTAAAATATTCAGCTTCAACTCTTTGCATATTTCTCTTGCATGATGCTCTTTAGTCTTTCCAAGAAGTTTTTCAAGGTGGTCATATTGTCTTTGTTCACAGGGCAATTGGTCTACAAAAGAAACATTTCATTAGTGTGCATTGCTAAATATTTGAGTCTTGCTGTCATTCCTGTCTACTTGAATCAAGCCTGCTGTGGCACTTGCCACCTGAACAGTTATCAGATCAGGGCCTCCTGTCTAGCTTGACTGGAGTCTGACTCTGCCACTAACTAGGCCAGTAGGATTTGCCTGTTTTCAGTGCATCCTACTTACTGTACCATCACTACGTGTCTGCCTTCGGGGGCGCCACAGTCTCTGGAGAGGTGTGTCACACACAGCTAGGTGCTGCTCAGGGGTGTAACATGAAGGTGGAGGCTCAGACCTGTACACTGCTTTCCTGGACCTTCTACAGGGCCACCTGGACTGCTGAGAGGGGTTCAGTCCCTTTGCCCTCCTGCCCATTAAACAGCAACACCACAGCTTGGCAGCACGCCAGGTGGAAAGGATTCCAGGTACCTGCCACCAGGCCACTGCTTCCATTTGAACCTCAGCTCTGCCCGTATATTAATTGCATTGCTTAGGACAAACTACTTTATTTGTAAAAGCTTCAGTTTCCGCCTTTGTAAAATGGGAACAGTAGTGCCAACTTCATATGATAATTAAGAGAATTAAAGGAGAGAATGAGTATAATGTCTGCTCCCTATTCCATTACCTTATCTTATAAATAAGATGACAGGGCCAGGGAGGGGATACATGGCGCTAGATAACATCCACTCTTGTTTCTCCCTCTTTCCTACTGGACTATTCCCATTGGTACCCCCACCTTGTAAGAACTTCCCTCACTCCACACCTGCCCTTCAGCTGTCGGTCTTGTTCGTTTCTCTGCAACCTAATAGCAAAACACCTCCAAAGACTTTTCTGTGCTTATTGCCCCTTCCTTTTCACTCCTCCCCACCCCGTTCTCTATGGAAGCCACTTCACTCAGGCTTTCCTTCCCACGTCCCATTTATATCAGCATCTCTGGTGTTCTCCATAATGCCAAACCCAACGGCTGTTCCCTGTCTTCATCTTACTTGACTCTTCAGTACATTTGACACAGGTGATCACTTCTTCCTTCTTAAAAGAGTTTATTCTCTTTCCTTCTGGGGCACCACACACTTCGATTTCCTCCTCCTTCACTGGCTACTTCTTGGTCTCTTGCTGGACCCTTCCCTTCCTGACCTCTATATGTTAGTGCCTCTGAACTCAGCCCTCAGATCTCTTCCTTTCTCTCTGTCATTCAGGTCTAGGACTTAAAATCTTTCTGAGGACACTTCATTTTATATCACAAGCTCTGACCTCTCCCCTAAGCTTCAGACTTTTAGAACAATCTTCTCAACATCTCCCCTTGGCCATCCAATAGATACCTCAAAGTTACCATGAACAAAACCGAACTTCCGATCTCCTGCTCACCCCAACCTTTCCATATCTGTAAACAGCAGCTACCATTACCTAAGTGGCTCAGTCCAGGAACCAAGTGGTCACCTTTTACTCTTACCTCACCTCTCACAATGGAGCTGTCAGCTATATTTTTAGTTATATCCCAAATCTAACAACCTCTACTGCTCTCAACCTTTTAAAACTACCATCACCTTCAGCCTGGATTGCTGCGTTAGCTGCCCCCAGGCCATGTTGCTTCTACGCTTACCCTGATTCAGTCCATTTACCACACAGTAGCCAGAGTGATGATTTTAAACCACAAAAATCAGACCGCAGCCCCTGCTCTGCTCCAGACCCAGTGGGTATTCCCCCCCATACTTGCGGTGGAACTCAAAGGCTCTGCACGAGCTGGTTTCCTACCAAAGTCCCCTTCGCTCACACTGATCCAGCCACACTGGCCTCTCTACTGATTTTGAACATACAAAGCTCATTTCCACCAGAGGGCCTTCGCACAGCCTTCCCCTCCGCCTGGAATGTTCTTTCCCCAGTTACCTATGTGGCCTGCTCCCTCACTGAATTTAAGTATCTGCTCAGATGATGTCACCAACTACTAAATCAGCCCTTTCCCCTATAACGCTTATATTCTCTATTCCAGTATTTTTCTTCATAGCACTTATTGCTGCCGGACATCATGACATGTTTGTTTGCTTGTCTAACTCCCCCACTAGAACATTCTGTGAGAGCAGGGACCCTGCCTTGTCTTTACTACAGTGTCCCCAGTGCCTAGAGCAGCACGTGGCACCAACAAAGCCTCAGCAGTACTTGCTGACAAACGAACAGGTTGATGAATGAAGGGTGCTGCTACCCAGGAGGAATAGAAGGGAGACTGCGTCCGCCAGGAGCCAAGCTGTCGGCACACCAGCTTACCATGTTGGCCATGCTGCTGAGGTTCCTGTCCAGTTTTTTCAGGGACCTACTGTTCAAGCACGTGTGGTGTTTGTAGATTTGCCGAAGCACCATCGTGGCCCTGCAGAAGACTTCATTCTCAGTTGTGTTCTAGAAAGAGAAATACCACGGCCGTGTACCAACTCTATTTTGAACATGGAACAGAGATTTTTCCTTCTGATTTCTTTTTTGCAGGAGGATGCATGGAGAAGGTAAGTTTGCTCAATTGCCGGTCAGGTATTCAAGGATTCCTGCCACATGAATGAAGGCTGCTTGTCACAGCCATAAACCTCTGTAAACAACCTCTCCCAGGTTCCTGCAAATGCAGCAGCCTTTTCCTCAGAAGCTCCCAATTTCTTTTCCCTTCTAGGGTTTTGCTAAAAGGGCATCTGAGTGAAGTCACCCAACTAAGCAAATGACAGAGTGGACATGTGAATGTAGAGCCACTTGTCTGTAGCCCAGGTCTGTTGGCCTGATGCCAGTTGTTCTTTCTGTGGAGGGTGCCTACATGAACTCATAGTCAAGAGTCTGCTCTCATTCCTAAGGTTTCCCTGGAAATCCTACATGCTTGTTGGATAAATGAATGAATGCCCATCTTTTGGCTTGGACAGTGCTGCTGGGGCCACACTCTCCATGTAGCCCTCCCCATGGGAGATGCGGAGTGTGTAGAAACTCAGGGTCCAGGTGAGGCGATCAGACATTTCCCCACAGCTAGAGGTGACTGCCAGGGTTAGGGCGAGGTGCCCCGGGAGTCTGGCCTTGGGAGATGGGGGACGCTTCTGAGAGAGGGTGCCATTGAGCTGGGCCTGGGACAAGGCTTCTGTCAGGGGCCTTTGACCTCGAATGTACATGGCCAGACCCTTGTTGGAATGCTGGCAGCTCTGATGTGGATCTGGCCATGTGGCTCTCCCTGGGGACTTTTGGGCCTTAGAAGAGGGCATGAACAAGCGGGGAAGCTTGCTGGGTGTGAACCTGGGAGAGGGGTGTGTCTCAGTGTGAACCAGGCCTGGCGTGTCCTCTCATTTCCACTGAAGAACAAAGTCATGGAGCCTGGGGACTGGTCTTAAGCTTGAGTCCCATCCAGCTCAGATAGAGCATCTCTACCCTCTACTAGGACATGCTCCAGTCCCTTGCCACTCAAAGGATGGCTCATGGAGCAGAGGCATGGGCACCACCTGGGAGCCAGTTAGCAATGCAGAATCTCAGGTCTTACCTCAGACCCACTGAATCACAAACGTGCATTAACAAGCTCGCCAGGGGGTTCTCATGAGAAGCACTGTCCAAGCAGCTTTTAAGTTCTTAGCAGTCACATATGTTTTCTGGTTGTCAAGGTAATATATGTTTACTATAAAAATAATGTATTCAACAAAAATGAATTCACTCGTTATTCCACTAGCCAGCGATAACTACTGTTGATGTTTTGGCAAATATCTTCCCAGGTTTTTAAAATATATATCTTTTCAAAATATAGATCAGCCATTGGTACTGATTTGTAACCGTTTCACACTTAACCTATAGTACAAGCATTTCTTAAGTCGTTCAATAGCATTTGGAACACGGGATTGAGAGCTCTATAGAACCCATGGCATATGTGTACCCTAATGGACCAATCCCCTATTATTGCAGTTTTTTCCTCTGTAAACAGTGTGTCAGTGAGTCATCTGTGTAAACCTGGTGTTTAGCTCATATTTCTCTAGGCTAAATTCTATAAGCACCAGACCCTCAGACTACAAAAGCTTCCCCTTTTCCCTGTGGGGCTTGATGGCCCATGGGTAGGGTCTTCGGAAGGACACACACATTTAATGAGCTGGCTGAGAGCCCTCCTGGGCCCTGGATTGTAGTTGGAAATTTAAGACTAGCCAGTATCTCTGGGCTCAGGGAGTCAGGAAACCTTTCATAAATCATGGTGCCTCTGGGGCTCTGGGGGTGAGCAGAGGTGGTAAGACCAAGGAGGAAGCAGAGGCTACCTGTGGGTGCAAATGTAGGAGACCCCGTGTGGCTGGAGGGAGAACAGTGAGGTTTAAAAGGGCCAGAGGAGAAGAGCCCTATCAAAACCTAAAGAGACTTTTCTGACACTCTGGCTTGAAGCCTAGAAATTAAACTGCCTCTTAGTTTTGCATATATGGCCATATAATATAGGAAAAAGCCCTGCAAAGATATTTGTCTAAGGACTTTCTAAAGGTAATTAGGATATAATAGGAACTGAAAAGAGTTTGAGTCAAATGAAAAAACTTTACAAACAACAACAACAACAACAACAAAAACTAATTCTAAAGGCCTTTTTAGCTAAGGGTCTTCAAGTTTTAGTTCCATTCGTATTGCAGCAACAGGATGACACCCCATCTCAACTGCTTTCAGCTGCTTATCCAGCTCTCTGCCTGTGTGTCTGCCACAGCTCAGGGACACGCTTTGATGACAGCCTAGCAGACCTCCAGTTCAGAACTGCTCAGGAAAAGAGACTCAAAAGGGAGGCCCAGGCCCAGGCCATAAGGAAGCCCATCCCTCATGGGAATGTCAAAATGGCCGATTTCTTCTGTGACAGTAACTCTATTAGCATTCTAACTTGGTTCTTTTTTTTTTTTTTTTTTTAAGCTGAGCCATCCTGCTACCTGTTGGCAGCTCAACGGCTGCTCAGCTCGGGCTGGACTTGAACCGCTGTTGCTCAGAGCTCAAACTCTTGAGCGAGTTCTTAACCAACTGAGCCACTCGGCCGGCCCTCTAACTTGGTTCTTGACCAGCTTCATTCAGGGCTATAAAAATACAGTCCTATTTGTGTTGTATCCATTATCCCCGCTTTTAGTCAGCCAGTGCTGTTTATAAAAATCCTCTATTTTCACTTCAAATAAATATTTGAGGGTTGGCGTAGAGCTCTCTGAAAAATCATAAACTTTAGCTCTCTTTGGTAGAAATATCTCCAACTAATGGCGCACCCAAGAAATCCTCTATAGACCAGCCTGCTTTCCTTGCTTTCCACTTCGCTGTTCCTCAAACCACCTTTATTTCATAGACACCCGGTATGCGTCGCGCATGAAGCCCAGGATTTAGAGCAGCACATTCTTGCCAGCAACTGCCCAGAGCAGGATGCTACCCAACTTGGAGATACAAGAATTCTTGGTCCCCAAAAGAAAGTTAATACAATGGATCTGGGAAAGATATTCCTCGTTGGGAACACAAAGAAGTAACTTTCCCTCCCACATACCACCTTTGTGGGTTTTGAAAAGCACAACCGTCCCTTGCTCTGAAATACCCTGATAAGTAAGCAGTGCTGAGTCTTTGAGGAAAAGAAAAGAACGGAAAAATGAGATTGATAATCCGGGAGGAACAGAAGCAGGTGGGGGAAAGGCGCCTGAGGCAGGTCAGTGTGAAGGAAGGCAGCGGGGACTTGTTTTAGGAGATGTCTACCTCTGTGGTGAGGGAAGTATGTGAGAACCCAATGAAAAGCAAGGCTAAGAGTGGGAGGAAGCCACATGGACAAGCCTGCACCTCCGCAAGAGTGAGGGGTGGCTGAGTCTCCTAGAGACAGCCAGAGTGGGGTGGCCTGGGCTTCGAGTCATGGAGGGTTTGATCATCTCCAACCGCTGGCCCCTCCCTCTTAGAATTATTGCTTCTCTGCAACTAGTTTTTGCCTGTAATCAAGAGTTATATCATCTTACAATAACACTTTCCACTAACTCAAGAGTTGGATTCCAACCAACTTTCAAAATCACTTTCATTTCTTCAGATGTGGAAACTGAGGCAGAAAGAGGTGTACAAATTGACCAAAGGCTACACAGCTGGTTAGTCGCAGGGCTGGGGCTGACACCACAGGCTGTGTCACCTTCAGACCCTCAGCACGTCCTGCGGGGCCCTGCCCTTGGCTTTGGGAGAGCCCACTCAGCAGTGTAGTCACCCTCTGGAGAGCCTAGAGCACAATGCAATGGGCTCCTGGCTATTTTATACACACATATAAAATATTAACATCGCATTAATATATAATTTTATATGTGTATAAAATCTCCAAGTCCTTCCGACCTACTGATGGACAGAGTCTGATACATGATGAGATTCTGAAGGACAAAATTATATACGTTCTTATATAATATATTATACATGTATTCTATATAATATTGTACAGAACTACATTACAATAGTATATATTATTATATATCAGACTCCTGGAATAATCTTTAGTGAAATGAGATATTCAGATAAAGACCTGAAGAACAGTTTTCTCACGAAGCAGGACGGGCCTGTTTTATGGCGTGGGTCCTGGGGTACGGACGGCCCTGCCCAGCTCACAGGACTTAACTCCTGGACAGGCTGCCCTCTCTGGTACGTGTGGAAAGCAGGTGGTTAGGAGACCACTGGTAAATTGAAGCTTTGGGTTTTTCATTCTCAGTTGTGTGTTTCCATGAAAACAGGAACTGATGTGCACAAAGCTATTGATATGGCTGCAGTCATGTGTTTGTCAGAGAAAATGCACTATCAGCTGTCAAATCTATCTCCTCCCACTGCAGATAGAGGGGCGGGGGTGAGACGGCACAGGAGGTGGAAAAGCAAGATGCCCGAGCAGCCTGAAGCAGGGATGTGTTGGACCCCACACCTGGCAGAATGGTCCGAACCAGGCTGGAGGGCAGTCGGCAGGACAGAGCAAGCCAAAGGTCTCTGGACAGCCGCCCCGGAGCCGGCGGGCTGCAGAAGAGGAGGGCTCTGGCAATACCTTCTCTGTCGCCGTAGGAAGTCTCTTAGACAAAATGAAAGCTCCCTCAACCTGTAATCTCAATATCTGCTTTTGTGAGAGTATTTGGTTTTTCGGAAATGTATGGGCCATAAAAATTCTCTCCTCCAACAAGCGTGTATTGAGTGCCTCCTATATTTCAGGTACTAGGCCGGGGCTGGATAAAATCCTAAAGAGCTCTGCCTTGACCAGGATCTAAGTTAGGATTACAAGATCCAAGCTGTCTATTACACATCTTCTACATCAAATGAAACCAGAAACACCAAAACATGTTTTGAAAGTAAAGATCAGAATTCTCATTATAGTTCATTTGGGCCTGTTCGCTTTCTGTTAAAAAAAAAAAAAAAAAGGTTTCTGTCCAAACACTTGTGGATGGTTCTCCTCTCCCAAGTCACCCATCTGCCAAAGCAGACCCGGGGCATTTCTTACCTTTGGGGCAGTCAAGACGTCTGCTACAGTCAGCTCCATGCACCAGTCCTTGGTCCAGGCAGGAACGAGAGAGCAAGAGACACAGTTACCTCCAACGGCACGGGGGACATCCTGCGGAGTACCTCTCACTCCCTCGAACTGAGAGCACTTCCTACAATCCCTCAGGGAGAGGAAAAGTGCCAAGCGAGAAGCCTCCGCTCTGCTCCCCATCCTGCCACCAACTACCAACTACCAACTTCTCTAGTAACGGTTATGTTCCTCGTAGTCTAAGAAATACCCACGGCATCACCCAACATCTGGAGAGATGGTGGCAGATAGCTTACTCACCTTTGGCACTGTGCGGAAGTTCAGCGTTTTGATGATCTCCTGTAAGATGAGCTTGTGTCCATGGATGAAGTTGCTGGTACATGCTAGTAGGCAGACCAGAACTGGGATCAGTTGGGAGGTGAGATGCATTAATAGGTCTCTATTTGCAATGACAATGTGAGACAATTAGTTTACCAGGAGAAGCTAACAATGCAATTCTGACAAAGTTATCTCTATATATAGATTTAAAATTGCTGAAACTGAGGGAAAATGAGTTTACATTGGAAATTTTCATTACACCAGGTTGGGGCCAATCAGCGCCTCTCTTCCAGGAGAAAAAAATGCCTCACAGAAACAGGTAAAATGTTCCTGTGAAATCAGACCAATAGGAAAATGAAACTTTTTTTTTTTAAATAAACTACAAAGTATCAGCATAGGAAATTACACCATAATTTGCTCTTTAGATTAATCTTATCAGCTTGGGGTTGTGCTGGCTTTTTGCTTTGAAGGAAGAGGCCACAGGTGTCCGAATTTTTGTAGTGTAATCCTCCTGGGGAAACACAGAGTAATATCAAGAAAGCTTGACTTGAATGGTATTTCAACCTGGCTTTTTCCAAGTATGGGTGGCATCTTGGAAACTTTTCTTTTGTGGAAGAGCTGACCTGGGGTTCTTTCTCTGGGTAGAAGGGAGGTAACGACACAGATCCTCTCCTGTCCTAGCTCTTGGGCAGGCCACTCTTCCAGGTCTGGGTCTTTGCTAAAGCACAGGTAACATCAGGTGGGGCTTAGTTTGGGTCCCAGCAGGTCCGTAGGTCTTTCACAGTAAGGAGGCCCTAGGCAAGTTAGGTCCATCCTAAGGTTTCAGGAATGGCCACTGTTTAAGTGGAACTTAATTAACTACATGCTCAGCTCATTAGGAAAAAGCCACAACCTGACTCATTTGCAAATCAGTTGTCTGTCAATGCTCCACCACCCGCCCTGCTGCTTTAGTCTAATTCCCAGGGACCTGGTGAGGTGCTTAGCACCTGCACTGCTCACTGGGGTGCCGCAGGACTCCTGTGCCCCAGCACAGCATGCCACTTCCTCCTTGAACCTTCCCTTCTCTTTCCTTTCTACTTCCCTCTCTTGGTTTCTGACCTTTCCCTCTGGAAGATGACACAGAAAAGAATCCTGCTAAGGCTGTTCCTGCATTTTGGGTCTTACTACAGTGCCTTGTGCTCTAGGAAGGAGAGGACCCGGGTGATTGTATGGGAAGGTCCTTCCACCATTTTTAGGATGTGTCCATGGACAGTGCTGCAAGTTTGCCAAACTCCATGCAATGACTCCTGACACCACTACGTGGAATTGGGTCAAATTTCACAGGTTAAGGACACAGCCTCCACAAGACTGCCCTCACTGAACACACCAGATGCAAATTTGGGGGTTTCAGTCCTTGCATATATTGTGACGTGATTACCTCAAGGCAACATCCACCATCTCGTATAGATACAACAAAAAACAGGAAAAGAAAAAGAGTTTTTTTCCTTCTGATGAGAACTCTAAGATCTACTCTTTTTTTTTTTTAAGATTTTATTGGGGAATTGGGGAAGGGAACAGACAAGTTGCTGTCTTTTTGTTCTTTAGTCTAGTTGTGGAGGACATTGCTTCACTGGCCCATGTTGGTATTGTGATCATTGCGCTCTTCCCCGGGTGAGGCAGATCAGTCTCTGGCCACTGGACAGCCACTCAAGGTGGCTCTTGGCAGCTCACGCCGGCTGCCGGCTGCCGGCTGCTCACGCTGGCTGCTGGCCACTCACAGTAGCTTACGGCAGCCCACTGCAGCCCCACTGCAGCCTATGCCATTGCCGGCAACTCACGGCAGCCCAGCTCTAGGTCGAGCTGTTATTCACCATCTTAGCTGTAGAGGGCGCAGCGTCACTGGCCCATGTGGGAACCGAACTGGCAGCCCTGCTGATCAGAGCTTGCACTCTCAAGCCAATTCTTAACCAATGAGCCACTTGGCTGGCCCAAAGATCTACTCCCTTAACAACTTTCCTCATATAGACCATACAGCAGTGCTAACTATAGCCATCGTGTTATACGTGGCATCTCAATGCTTTATCTTAGAACTGAAAGTTTGTAGTTTTTGACCACTTCGTCCACCTCTGGTAAACACAAATCTAATTTTTTTCCTATGACTTTGGTTTGTTTGTTTACTTGTTTTTAGATTCCACATATAAGTGAGATCATACAATATTTGTCTCTCTGTATGACTTACTTCACTTAGCATAATGTCCTCCAGGTCCATCCATGTTGTCACAAACGGCAGAACTTCCATTTTTATGGCTGAGTAATATTCCAGTGTGTGTGTGTGTGTGTGTGTGTGTGTGTGTGTGTGTGTGAGACATTTTCTTTATCCATTCATCCATCAGTTGACATTTAGGTTGTTTCCATGTCTTGACTATTGTAAATAATATTGCAATCAACATGGGGGTGCAGATATTTTTTCAAGTTAGTGTTTTTGTTTCCTTTGGATATGTATCCAGAAGTGGAATTGCTGGGTCATAGGGTGGTTCTATTTTTAGTATTATGAGGAAACTCCGTGCTGTTTCTCATAGTGGCTGCGCCAATTTACAACCCCGCCAATAGTGCACAGGGTTTCCCTTTTCTCCACATCATCACTGGCATTTGTCATCTCCTGTCTTTTTGATGATGAGGCTTTGATTTGCGTTTCCCTGATGATCAGTGATGTTGAGCACCTTTTCATGTACCTCTTGGCCATTCGTTTATCTTCTATGGAAAAAATGTCTATTTCGGCCCTTTGTCCATTTTTAAATTGGATTATTTGGATTTTTGCTAGGGTAAGTAAATCCCTCACTATACAGATGGGTGGAGTTTAGCAGACGGGTAGACAGTTCCTTTCAGGACAGGTGGAGACTTCAAATTCAGGTTAACTATTATTTGGAGTAAAATGGTGCATACATATGCCTTTCTTGAGGAAAGGGTCAAGTTAAAACAGGCGTGAACTTGGGAGCACAGACACACTGAGGAGAGTCCAGGGTGTAGAGTACACCTCCCCAAGCTCTGGGGTTTGAGGGCAGCTGGAGAGAAGGGAGGCCAGCAGGCTCCTCCCGTGGAGGAGTTGTAAGAGGTGATAGAAAAACTACCCACATATTCTGCAGTGGCTTTTGTGAGTGCCTGACTTCGCTGAGGGCCAGACTCCCAGCTTGGGGCTCTGTGGACAAAGAAATGGGATGTCATATGGGAACCAGTAGCTCAGAAGCAGAATACAACTGCTGCTCCTTTTTTTTATTCCAATGGTTGGATGAGACCAGGGAAAAAAGGACTAACTTTCCAGAACATTAAGGAGTGACCAGTATGTCCCCTCAAAGGGAATAAGGAGGAAATGGACCATTCTTTGCAGTGTGGCACCATAGCAGCTGTGCATGTGGCTGGCTGGGCAGAGGCCAGGAAGGTGTGGGTCTGCATGTCACGGGCTGCCCCCCACCCCTAGCCTGCAGGCGTCATGGGCAGTGATGGTATGAGGCAGGTGGGGTGGGCACCAAGGCCCAGAGAGAAACTGAAGGCTGCTGGGTACTGGCTGAGTCAGCCATAGATCCCTCCCCTTTACCCTGTGTGAGAGCTGACAACCAGCACTGGCCCCGTGTGACCACAAAGCTTTCTTTTCAGGTCCTGGAATATACCAGTTATAAGCACTGGACTTTGGAGTTTAGCTAACAAGGCACTTGTCAACAATGTGATCATGGACGGATCACTAAACTCTCTCTGGGTCTCAATTTCTTCACCTGTGAAATAGAAATAATGTAACTCCTCCTCACGGGATTCTAGTGAGGAACAAGTGAACGATTCCGTAGAAAGTGCGAGGCACACGGCACTCCATAAAGGGTGGCTGTCACTGGACTCCGCCTCTGTGGCACACAGTGGGCCCAGGCAGCCCAGAAGAGCTGGCTGCTCTGCTTTGTCACTGTGAGAGCTTGGGCACACCAGTCAGCTCCCTCCTTAAAGTGTAGGTGACAGTGATACCTGCCTTGTGAGGTTGTCCTGAGGAATAAATGTTAATGTTTTAAAAGTAGTCAGAGTGGCGCCTGGCACATAGTGAAGGCTCTGTAAATGATAGTACTGTTGTCATTATTCATCCTATCTTTGGTTGGTCAAATGACTGTGGTACTTAATCTATTAGGAGAACCTGAGTCAGCACAGGGCCAGTAGAGGTTTTGCCTGTGGTCACTTCCCCACATATGTCCTCCCTGATTGTGTCCCCTTTCTAGTTATTGAGGTCCTATCCTTGTTTCAGGGAGTCACCAGATACTTACGTAACTGGATTCATTCTAAGAAACCTGTACTGCTGTGGGCAACTTAGGCAGAAAGCATTTAATGCAGGAAAGTAGGTGCTTTTAAAATGTTGGGGGGTGTGGGTGGAGGAGCAGGCTCCAGGCTGGGCCTAAAACGCTGAAGAAATGACCCATAGGAAGGACCACTCCCCTTGAAGCTGCCGCTGCAGGTCTGAAGTTCAAGAACACACGCCTAAGGCAGCAATCCAGGGATTCTTGAGCTGCTGCCTCAACTGCTTCCAGACACCCACAAAATTGCTCCAGAGGTAACCCTCCCCATGCCCCAGCTGGAGAGAGCAGGAAGATAGCTCCCTGGAGAATAATTCACACCCCAACGCTAACTTTAAGGGGGTCTGAGAACTGAAGTTGCAAGCATTCAAGGGGAAAGGTATGGAGGCTGAGAAGAGCAGCCCGGCTGTGTCCCCACCATGGCCCTTGGCTGAGAATTCTTCTTGCTCTACCCTGAGCCCTGCGAATCTCGAATCTTGAATCTCATCTTTTCTTCTCTTCTGTCAGCTGGCAGGACAACACACGGAAGAGCCCTTTGCAACGTCTCCTGGGCTTATTCATGAAAACAAGTAAGAGTCCTCCAAGGGAGTGATGTTAGCAGAGGCTGGAAATGAGCCCTAGCAAGGAGCAGGGGGACAGCATGTGGAAGGCCCTGGAGGACCTGAAGAAAGCCAGTGGGAAGCCATTTAGAACACTGCACCATCTGAGAGTGAGACAGGGAGCTGCCTGCGTAGGGCAGGACAGTGGGAAGGAGAGCTGAGGGTCTGAGTTACTCAGCAGGGCAAAGCGTGGCAGTGAAGGCCTCAGGTCCTGGAGTCAGCAGGACCTGGTAGTTCTGAGTC